TACCGGGGGGGGGAAGCCGTTTCTGGCGAGAAAAAAAGGGAAATAAAAACAAAAAGGGAAAACAAGCGCAAGCACAGCTCGCCCCGCGGGCGGGCGGCTCTGGAGAGCCACATCGCTCCGCGGGGTGGGCGACCCGGTGGTGCCAGGAGCTGGCACCGCTTTGGCTTAGGGTTTGGGTTCTGGGGGTTTGGGTTTGTTTTTTTTTCCCTCTGGAAAAAAAGGAAATAGGGCATGTTTTTCAAGTCGACAGCTCTCTTGGGAAAAAAGTCGCGGCGAATGAGTGGATTAGTACGAATTGTAGTGCAGCGACGGGCCGGATGTCTGAAAGGTTTACAAACACTTGAAATTCCTACGAGGAAGTGTTATTAGTTCTGTTTTGTATTTAGGGAAAATGAGGCTAAGAAAAACTGCTTTGTCAGCTAGGTATCACCATCCAGCTTCTACAAGACATGTAAGAATTAAAATATCCCAGTTAGATACTACAAGAACTTAAATAATTATAACCAGAAAATTATATAGAATGAGGAAAGTTACCTTTCCTAGTTTTTTTCCCCCCCTAGGTTTTTTCCTGTCATCCTAGATGGTATTGCTAGAACAGATCATCGCAGTCTGACGGGGGTCACAAAATCTTACTTTCAGAATTCCATATTTATTTCTTCTTCTAATCATGTTCAGCTTGTGAAAGCCACGTTCTCCACATCAAGCTGGGGCCTCATCACAATATCACCGACAACAGGGACACAGGCATTTATTTATCTAATTTCTGTCTATGATACATAAACTGTGCAAGCCACAGGTACTCCAGCTAAAGCACAACGGAGCAACACCTTCCATCTCGGCTCGGCAGGCACCACCAACCCGGGCACAGCTTTGCCGGTAAATGAAACTACTAAGAGTAAGACTGAGCAGATACGGCGTTGCAGAGGGCTGCTACCTCAACTCCTTCTTACCAGCAAACCATTACCTGTTCACAAGTGCTTTACATGTGTTTCATTCTCTTACTGCACATTGTTTCTAGACTAACAACATTCTTCTACAAGAAAAGCAAGTAGAGATCATGGGCCGAGGTGATGATGTAAACTAAAACCAAAAAAAAAAAGAGAAAACAAACGTCACTGAAAACATCATGACAGGTTACGACTGTCAATCCGCTGTTGAAGGCAGAGGCGCAAGGAAAAACACCAGCACTCCCCTTGAAAGCTGTTGTGAGGTGGCACTCTGCGTATTGCATGGTTCTCCCTGCTGCATGCCAGCTCATTGGGGGTGCAGAGGGTTAACTTGAATCACCAAGGTGATTATGTAGCTGTATGAACTGGCTTAGAAGATGGGTCTCAAACCTCAACAGCCTGGCAGATTACAAAGAGAGAAGAACAGACATCTCCAGGGATGTAGAAGAATGGAAGGAAATCGCTTACAGGAGTACAAAGGCATCTAATTAGAATGAAACGGAAGATAATAAGATAGAGAGAAATTTTGGCAGAGTGTATCAGAGAATAATTCCTGACAGTGAATCTATTAAGCAGAGGTAGAACCTCTCAAGGGGGTGTAGCAGGAGACCAGCTGGTCAGAACATATAAAAGTAGACTATACAAAACGTTAGAAACTGGGTAACTATAAAGGAAAACTCCTCTGGAACTACACCTAGTCGAACAGTTCTTTCCCATGTATAAACTTAGAAGCTAAGCTTTAATTAAGAGTGAAGCGTCACAGCCGTGATTATACTCCCTCACAGCTGCTTTTTGGTTCTTAATGTTACTATTGCTGCTTTCTTACACAGCAACTGAGCTTTGGAATCATGGCTGTGATTTTGAATGAATTTGAAACCAATTCGGAGAGTACTGTGCACAGAGAAGAACAGCAGGACAATACCAGCTGGGAGAGGTACTTGGAAAGGAGGAACCTCGTTCTGCAGTTCCTGCACTCCAACCTGAACCTCCACCACCTCCAGCACCACCAGAACAAAGTTGAGCTTCTGAAGAAGTCTTACTTTTACTTGGAAATTGAGCCCAAGCACATAAACGTGAGAGACCAGAACCACGTGATGCATCGCGCTGACATCTTGCAACTAATAGACCCCTACCAATTCCAGAGAATGAAGAAGGTGGGAAAAAAACAAACTGAAATCCAGCTGACACTTTTAACCGAGCTGTTAGAAGAGCTGGAACGAGGTCGGGAGGAGCTGAGCTGTTATGTAGAGACCTGTGACACGGTAACTTTCCTCTCCCAGTGGGACTTTATTATGCAGAGACTGTCCAAGCTCTCAGAGTTTATGGAAACTCTCCTTTCCTTGCAAGTGCCAGGAAAGCTCTACATCAAGCACCGTTTGGTGTCACACGCAGATCTTAGGGGTGCTAGACTGCCCAGCATTAGGCTTTCTCTCTGTACAAAGATGCCACTGATTTTTGATCGAAAAGAATCATTTGCACACAAGGACTGGGCCAAGCTCAAGTGGTTTACCGAAAATCAAGAGTCACACCTTGAACAATGTGAACTGCACTTGAAGTTACTGACAAATGGGAGTCAGACAGAAGCAGGATACAGTAGGATTCAGGAAGTCACCTCCAATACATGTGTAGTCCAGGACCTGCAGCCTGGCAGATCGTATGAATTCACAATTCGAAGATCAGGCACTCACACGCTTGTCTTTGGGAACTGGCACGACAGCATTACACTGAAGACAAAAACTAACGCTGTTGAAGACGCAGACAGCGGTGCTGGCGCACCAGAAGGATGAGGTAGCACACAAGAATATTTTTCTCATTTTATGCATTTGAAAAAGATGAATGAGAAAAATTAAAGATAAACCTTATTTTAAACATTTTGCGTAAAACTGAACTCGCTCTGTTTTCAATAACAATTTTACAAGCGCCTTCTGCAAATCTTTCCAGGTTAACAGTAACCCATTCCAAACTTCTCACACAAAATAACACCCTTAGGCAGCATTCGAGGCCCAACACTCGCCTCCCGCTGCCAGAACTCACAGGCGGGAGCAGCTAGAAGCAGGCAGTCTTGCAGGACACCTTGGATGCAAAGCACAGGAGATAGATAGAAGCGTCTCCATCATCCAGTGCTTTCCATCCACTGAAAGATGTCCAGTACCAGCTTCTTGCACTGATGATGTTTTGATTTGTTTTGTTTTTATATCCCAAGTTATTTTTCCCCACGTCCTTCCTTCAGAACACTTGAACTGAATCCTAAGCTCTTTAAATCACTCACCCTAACTCACCTCCATCTCTGGTTCCTCTCACCCTCTACACCCTGTGCCTTGTAAGTACCTTAGTATGATTTCATGCTCACCCCTCTACAGCGCATGAAAAGATCACTCTGAGTAACAAAAAACCCCAACCCCAAAACCAAACTCACAACAACCACCTCCCCCATCCCCTCAAACCCCCAAAACAAACAGGGAAGGATAATACATCCACACGACCAATGTGTGGAAGACAATCTTTCCTGCCACGGATTGCAGTTAATGCTCATTTTCTTTTTTACCATTTGGTTCAGTCCAAATATAGCTGTCCCCACGCAGATTCTAGTCAAACCATCACATAAACAGACCTTTTAGTAATAAAATTTATTATTTAAATAAATTCAAATAATTTTTACAATTATGGCTTAAATATCAAAAAAGGAATGTTGAGGTTCATTCTTATAAACGGTAGAAGCAGGTAAAAATATTTGTATCCAAAACGTCATTTGAGGTTTGCTGCAAGTCACAGACATACAAAAGATAAAAACCTGCCACATTGAAAGTCCCTTAATTTACACTTCATGACACTTAGCATTTCACTTCTATTGAAAAAAAACCCAGCAATTTATTGCAGTAAATTGATCGTCCTACACAGATCTGTCCAGATCCTCAAAAACAGCCCAGTGGGCTTCTCCTTTGCCAGCTGGAGCCAAGGAGAGGATTCCTCGTTCTGGATGTCTGTAATTTCACTGCCAGAGCGAGCAGGATGCAGGGCGATGGCTGCAGCCGCATGGACCGTCGCAGGCCGGCGCCTGGCACGCCGCTTGCTGCGTGCACAGGTTCCATTGTTCAACTTGGGCTCAAGCTCTAGCCAGCGCCAAGGAAATTAAAGTTATCCCGTTGGATGAACTGACATGTGTGTCCTGCAACAATGTTCTTCTGTCTGTGAGCGGTGGAAAACATAGAGCCTGTGACCGGAGAGATACCCTGTGCCCCGTGCTGCCAGTGGTTTCCTACTGGAATTACCAACGGTTTGGTGGTTTTGGTTTTTTATAAGTATTTTAAGAATATATGCTTGAACATAAAATTCTTTCAAAAGTAAATCCAAAGCTCTCTGTGCAAATGAAACCAGACTACTTTGAACTTTTTTTTTCTCTATTAATTTCTATGATTCTCTCTACCCATGAGCGTAAGGACAAGAACATGATATTCAGCTGTCACTAACAGTCTATAAAAAATGTGATTAATTGCACTTTCTGCTATCCCTGACTATTGCAGCTGCATGACCAACTCTCCAGGTACCTGCTCACAGCCCAAACAGCCCAAGAGTCCAGCCTGGCTGTTTACTGCTGCTTGGGTGCTCTAGGTCAGTGTTTTCTAAACACCAGGTACAAAATGCATCTTCAGAGGCAAAAAAAAAAAACAACCCAAAAATCTATTGTCTTGCAACACAGAGGTGACCGCGCAAAGCATTTCAGTCTAGGCTTCACCCTCCAACAAGCAGCAGTAAACACTTTTTCCCCGCTGAGGGCAAAGGGAGACGCTTTACGAGGTCTCTTTCTTGGTCTATACAAACACATGGACAAACCCTACACAAGAGCATTGGACTAAGCCGCTACACTTGGGGTAAATCCCCACATTTGCGTTACACGTAATGAAATAACCAGCCAAAAAAACAGGGGAGAGACTCTCCACTTACAGTAGATCATGAAAATGAGACCCACTGGTTCTAAAGGGACCAAGGTGACTTTGTTAGAATGATGCTGGCACCATGCTAAAGCATTTATCCCAACAATTCCAGCGTCTTTTGCAATTCTCCACACCATCTTGGAGATACCTGATCGCATTTCAGTAGTCCACTAAATGATTCCCATAGAAGCTTGTTTTGGAATTGCAATATTACTTGCAAAATCAGAGGCGCAGAATCTTTAAGATCCCAGCCAGGATGACTTCAAAGAGGACCAGTGAACTTTACATCTTACCAACCTTTATCAAGCATCTTTAGAACCAGCAGGAGTTACTTCCTACGGGCTTTTGTCCCTCACGGGATCACCAGCCATATGCCCGTTATTACGCTTCAGTAAGACAAAAACAAGCCTGGGTGGTCTCTACTGTACAGACCGAACCCACCAAATGCAGAAGTGCAGGAAGGTAGTTTAAAATAACAAAGAGAACAACAAAATTCCTCCATAGGTTCTTAAGTCAAGTCTAACACAGAGTCATGAGAAGAAACACAGCGCTAAATAAGGATTTTTCCAGACACAACTCTTTCTTATTGCACATTCCTCCCCACTGGAAAGAGCCATGCTGCATTTTCAGTTGCAAACACAGGACAAAATTCATCCTTGCCATAGTGCTGTGAAGTCACGGGCACCCCTCACTTATGCCAAGGAGGACTTGAGTCCCAGCACAGTATATACTTGGTGCAAAACCATCGTGATTGCTTCTTGGCACCATCCCACACGAACATCTAGAGACAGCCAAGCATGTGGTCCTGGGGAGAGCTGAAGCAGGCACTTCATACATTCAGAATTGAAATGAGATAAAAGACGCCCTCCCTCAAAAGTATCATGCTTCAAAAAGCAGTTCCATGATTCAGCAGAGAGCACCGCTTCACCGCTATACGTCTCTATCAGCCATACGTTATCGGGCAAAAGCAGCTTTCTCTAGTGAGTCACACCTTCCAGTCCACAGCAGTTTGTCCATTATACACATCTATGCTGTGGTACATTTATCAAATTTCCATCAGCTCTTAAAAACTCAGGTCGTAAGACTGTGAAACAAATTCACAGAGTTAAAAGTTAATAAATTAGAAGCAGCTTTAAAAAAATATAGGGTAGGAAAGGGTGGCTCTTACAGGAGCAGATTTCAAATAAAACTCAGAACAGTTTAAAATATGCTTACAAATTCCAACGTTTCCTGGTAGGAGCGGTCCTTGCTTTTCATTAACTTTATATTGGTGAGGATGACCTCCTTTGTACAAAGAATAAGTAAATCTATTTACAAAATCAACTTGGCCTTGTCTCTGTGATATTTACACGCTCAGAGAACAACGTTTTGGCTAGACAAAGAGTGGTACATGGCTCTCTGTTTCTTCCTTCACTTTAAAAAAACAACAAAAAAGAACCAAAAGGAAAAAAAAAAGTTTTTCTGCTTTGAGAAACAAGAAGCCTTAAAAATTCCCTGGCCTTGGTTTTAAAATGAGTGGTAGTACTCAGAAGCTTTGGTCCTCCATGGCAAATTGCAGCTTGCCGCGCAGCTCCGTTGCGTGCAGTCATTCCACCCTTGATGAATGGACTGAGTATTTGGTCCCCAAAGCGCAGCTGCACCAGCAGATAGGACGGGGGCTCCGCTGAGCATCTTACAATTAAAAAAATAGTATCATCATCAATAAAGTCACACACCCATTCATCCATTTCCAATGCTTTTTGGTTTGCTAGAGCTGAAAGTTCCTGTCCAAGGTTGCACTGATTAAAAAATCCAAAAACCCAAGAAGCCAAAGCACGCGCTGAAGCTGAGCTGTCGCTGTGCAGGGGAAGATCCTGGCTCCCCCACTGCATTTGGCTCCACAGGTCATTAAATAATGGAAAGATTGTGTCCTTCCCAAGGCACACGTAACGCAGTTCACGTAGAGGGACGAGCTCACTGGGGTACAACCCGTCCTCATCGGTGGAAGGCTGAAGTCTTCCTGACAAAAATCCCCTGGGCTGCAGTATAGCAGTTGCGCTGTCTGTAATGCTGAAGCAGCCTCCTCCACAAAGGGTTGCACTCCAGGAGGTACCGGTTCCCTGTTGGCACGGGGATGGGGGCAGCGGGTTAGTGGCCAGAAGAGGCTCGGATGATACCATCACAGAAACTTTCGTCTAACATTTCTAGCCTAAAGGTGCTGCATAACTGGTGGGGACATTTGCTTTAGCCAGAGCTCTGTGAAATCCCAGCTCCCTT